ATCTGGAGTGAGCCACATTGACTATTCTTTCCAGTAGTCATTGCTAAGCTAGATGGGTCAATAACTTGACTCAGTATAAGGCAGCTTGGGATGCAGGTGGCGCTGTGGGTTAAACCACAGAGCCTAGGACTTGTCGATCAGAAAGTCGGCGGTTCGAATCCCCGCGACGGGGTGAGCTCCCGTTCCTTGGTCCCTGCTCCTGCCAACCTAGCAGTTTGAAAGCATGTCAAAGTGCAAGTAGATAAATAGGTACCGCTCTGGCGGGAAGGTAAACGGTGTTTCCATGCGCTGCTCTGGTTCGCCAGAAGCAGCTTAGTCATGCTGGCCACATGACCCAGAAGCTGTACACCAGCTCCCTCGGCCAATAAAGCGAGATGAGCGCCACAACCCCAGAGTCGGTCATGACTGGACCTAATGGTCAGGGGTCCCTTTACCTTTTAAGGCAGCTTGCTTATGCATAGCTCAGTTGGTTAGAGCATGGTGTTGATAACACCAAGGTTGCAGGATCAATCCCCATACGGGACAGCTGCATATTCCTGCATTGCAGGTGGTTGGACTAGATGTTCCTCAGGGGCCCTTACAGCTCTACAGTTCTATAATTCCTACCTCCGAATAAATCTCCTTTGCAATTTGCAGCAGCGGTGCCAACGAATAAAATATTGGGGGGCCCAGGAAAGCCCTGCCCTGCATAATTGATCACAAGATGCAGTGCACACACACACACACCATTTGAATGGCAATGCCCATTAACTTTGGGATGAGCCTGGCCCCCTTAAATATTTTATTGGGGGCAAAGGGTCCTTGGTTCCTAGGAATTTACTCCTATGCCCTGAGGGTTATCTAGTTAAAGCCTCCCTGCCATGCAGGAATCACAGCTGAAGAATCCCTGACAGATGGCCATCTAACCTCTGCTTAAAAACCCCCAGGGAAGGAGAGTCTGCCGCCTTCCAAGGGAGACCGTTCCAATATTGAAGAGCAGACAGAGGAGCATTTCTGGCACCTAATTGTATAACAGCAGCAACACCCAAATGAAGAAAGCTAACCAGGCTTGTGTCGAAACAAAATAAAAAAATTCCTTCCAGTATCACCTTAGAGACCAACTAAGTTTGTTACTGGTATGAGCTTTCTTGTGCATGCACATTTCTTCAGAATTCAGAAACAGAATTCTTCAGATTCTTCAGAAGTGTGCATGCAACACACAGCTACCTACCAGTAACCAGGCTTGTGTGTAAAACATTTCTGAGCTCAGTTGGTGCCCTCTCCTTTAATTTTGACTGTTATGTCTTTTGTACCTGGCTCTCATTAGTAGATCTTGGGGTTCTAGTAAAAAAAGGGGGAAACCCAAAGGAGATTTTTAAAAGTCTGGTGTCTGCCCCCCTATCCTGCTCTACAGTACTTCACATCTGCACCATACTTTTAAAGCACATGGCTTCTCCCAAAGAACCGTGGGAGCTGTTGTTTTTTCCCTTCAAATAGCTGCAGTTCCCAAAATCCTTAGCAAACTTCACTTCCCAGTATTCCTCTGAGGAAGCTCTTCCTGGGAGCTGTGGTTTGTTAAGGGTGCTGGTGAGAGTTATTAGGAGAGCCCTTTCCCCTTCCCAGAACTACAGTTACCAGAGTGATCTGACCATCCTCTTCCAAGGGAATTCTGATGTTTTAGCTCTATGAGGGGAATAGGGGTCTTCCAAGCAACTCTCCCAGTAGTGATGTATGGAAGTGAGAGCTGGACCATAAAGAAGGCTGATCGCCGAAGAATTGATGCTTTTGAAGTATGGTGCTGGATGAGACTCTTGAGAGTCCCATGGACTGCAAGAAGATCAAACCAATCCATTCTTAAGGAAATCAGCCCTGAGTGCTCACTGGAAGGACACATCCTGAAGCTGAGGCTCCAATACTTTGGCCACTTCATGAGAAGAGAAGACTCGCTGGAAAAGACCCTGGTGTTGGGAAAGATGGAGGGCACAAGGAGAAGGGGACGACAGAGGATGAGATGGTTGGACAGTGTTCTCGAAGCTACGAACATGAGTTTGACCAAACTGCGGGAGGCAGTGGAAGACAGGAGTGCCTGGCATGCTCTGGTCCATGGGGTCACGAAGAGTCGGACACGACTAAACGACTAAACAACAACAAAGCAACTCTCAGCACCAAGTACAGTTCCTAAGGATTCTGTGGGGAAGCCATACCTGGTTAAAGTGGCATAATACTGCTTTAAAAGTATAGTGCAGATGGGGGCACTGTGGGCCAAATAATGGCTTTCTGGGGCTGCACAAATATGTGGGCTCCCAGTGTGGACCTTGCAACTACTTTGTTCCTCTGTTGTCCTTTTTTACTCCCATAACCTCCTTCTGTGCCAAGCCTAGACATGTTGGTATGTGGTCTGAACCCGGGATAGCTCTTCCCTTGCTAACCGTGAGCTATACACAAGAACAAACCTTTACACGCTCCCAGTAAATTGCAGTGTGGGCTCACTGTGTCCTGCAAACCAGGCCCCGGATTGGGAATGAGGCCCAGTTTTCAAAAACTGAATAATTGTTTTATAGAGGGAAGTCTTTCTGGTAGTTCCAGCTGGCGCCATTTTATCCTTTTATTGACAGTTTCCTTTTGATGCAGTTTTTATTTTTCTTTGTTAATGATTCTTTTCCTTTTGAAGAAATCTTTCAGTAGCTCTGGACTGTTATTTTTAAATGGTTTTTTAAAAATGACATGTTTGGGCAGAGTTGTCTTTTCCCCAGCTGCATGCCCAAATCATGTCCACAAATATAGACAGTGTTGTGTGTGTGTGTGTGTGTGTGTGCGCGCGTGTGTGTGTGTGTGTGTGTGTAGGCTGGCATTCAGATCTGATGTCCTTGGGTCAGTCACTCTCTCAGCCTAACCTACCCTGCAGGGTTGTTCTGGAGATAAACTGAGGGAAGGGAGAACCATATGTATTCCACCAGGGATGCGGGTGGCGCTGTAGTCTAAACCACTGAGCCTCTTGGGCTTGCCAATTACAGCGGTACCTCGGGTTACATACGCTTCAGGTTACATACACTTCAGGTTACAGACTCCGCTAACCCAGAAATCGTGCTTCAGGTTAAGAACTTTGCTTCAGGATGAGAACAGAAATTGTGCTCCGGCGGCACAGCGGCAGCAGGAGGCCCCATTAGCTAAAGTGGTGCTTCAGGTTAAGAACAGTTTCAGGTTAAGTATGGACCTCCGGAACAAATTAAGTACTTAACCCGAGGTACCACTGTAGAAGGTCAGCGGTTCAAATCCCCGCAACGGGGTGAGCTCCCGTTGCTCTGTCCCAGCTCCTGCCAACCTAGCAGTTTGAAAGCACGTCAAAGTGCAAGTAGATAAATAGGAACCGTTGTAGTGGGAAGGTAAACGGCATTTCCTTGCACTCTGGTTTTTGTCATGGTGTCCAGTTGCACCAGAAGTGGTTTAGTCCTGCTGGCCACATGACCCAGAAAGCTGTCTGTGGACAAACGCCAGCTTCCTCGGCCTGATAGCTAGATGAGCCTTTGTTGCCTTTGACTGGACTTAACCGTCCAGGGGTCCTTTACCTTTTTTAATGTATTCCACCTTGAGCTCCTTTGAGGAAAAGGTGGGATATAAATGCAATAAACAGATAAAGACACACAGAGAAACATACTACACACAAGCACCTTGTTAAGTCATAAGAACTGTAGAGTTGCAAGGGAGCTCAATGGGACATCACCTTGGTAGAGTTGAGCCCAGGGATTCAACTTTCAGTATCACCACCACAGAATCCTTGACATCTCCTTTTTAGTACAGTGTGATCACACACACACACACAAGCAAACAGACTTTTAATGGCTACTATCCCTTGTGGCTGTGTTCTACCTCCACTATCGGAGGTTGTAATGCTTTGAAACACCAGTTGCTGAAAACCACAGGAGAGAATTTCTGTTGGGCTCAGGTCCAGCTTGCAGGCTTTCCGTAGACATCTTGTTTGGCTTCTGGGAGAAAAGGATGCTGGACTAAATGGGCCACTGGCCTGATCCAGTAGGACTCCCTCCCCCCCCCCCATTTTTGGGGCTTCTCATTTGCACGGCTGATGGTAAAGAGAAATTCATCCCTTGGTTTTGCAGCTGGATACTATGCACGTTTACTCAGACGTCAATGCCACCGCATTCAGTGGAGGGTTAACCTCCCTCCCCACGCACACAAATCCCTTTGGACTTCAGCTTTAATCCCGTCTAAACGGTGCCTAAACTGCCCCTATTCAGGGCAGACTTCCGTGGGAATAAGTCCTATTGAATGCGGTGGGATTTATTTCCCAGTAAACACGCATCATAAGCCGTCCCAACCCATACACAGGCCCTGTGCTCACCACAGGCTTACAGTATCTAGTTTCACTCCGGAGTGAGTCCCAATGTATTCGGTGTAAGTGTGCACAAGATTTCAGTCTCGCATAATAAAATCCTCGGGGCCTTTATTTCGGGGGGGGGGAGGAACCAGTGGCGTAGCGTGGGGGGTGCAGGGGGGGCCGGCCGCACCGGGCGCAACATCTGGGGTTAGGGCAAACCCACGGGTTAGGGGGCGCAAATTACTTGCCTTGCCCCGGGTGCTGACAACCCACGCTACGCCACTGGGAGGAACAAAAAACCCAGGGAGTCCAAGCAGGTTTACTCGGGGGCAAGTCCCGGTATGTTCAATGGAGCTTACTCCCTAGTAAGCGCGCAATTGCGGAGGTATCCGAGGTACAGCCCTGCTCCGAGTCTAGCCATTGAAATCAATGGGCCTCGGGCAGTCGGGTTTGCCCATTTCAATGGGTCTACGCCGAGTAGAGCTAGCATTGAATCCGGGGCTTGTTCGGAGCAGAGCGCGCCTAGGTTTTGCAGCCTCGCCCTGCGGAGTTGCAGAAGCCATGAAACAGGTCCTGGGGTTTTATTTTTTGCGGGGCGGGGAAGGGGGCGGGCGGGCGATGCGCTCCCTCTTCCCGGGAGAAGGAGTTTGATTCGGGCTCCCTCGGCGGGGCGTGGAGCTGACGCGCTTATATAAAAGCTTTTCTGACGAGGTGGCTGGCGAGGCCGCCTCGTCGCTGGCTGCGCCCCCGTGGTTGGCCGTCCCGCTCGACTCGGGGGCCGTGCAGAGCGCATAAAGGGGACCCGGCAAGCCGAGCGGAGGCGCAGCGTGGCAGGGCGAGCCCACCGGCCGGTCGGGCTGCCCCCTCGCCCCTTCCTCCCTCCCTTCCTTCTTTCCCCGGGAGGGAAGCCGAGGAGGCGGCGGCGCGGGAACCTCAGCAACCGGGAAGGGGCGGAGAAGGAGGAAAAGGACGGCCGGATCGACGGGCGAGGCAGGCGAAGGAGGCGCCGGCCGAGCCGACAGCTCCGCGAGGACTCGACGGTCCCGGCCACCCACCTCCGGCCACCAGGTGAGCGCTCCCTCCTTCCGCTGAATGCATCACATGTCAAAGAAAATAGGAACCGGGGCTCAAGCTATCATTAGTCTCTCTTTAGTCTTCTGTCTCTGTCTCCGAAAGCGCAAACTTGGCAATACTGTCCTACCCCCCAAGATTCGGTTCGAGGTGGCTCTCTGCACATGTTCAGAGGCATTCCTGATTTGCCATGCTGCCTCTACTCTCCTCCAAGCCCAAACTCGGCAGTATTTCTCCTAGCCGCCCAGGTCTGGTGCAATGTTGCCGAGGGCTCTCTGCACATGCTCAGAGGCACTCCTGAGTCCCGACTTGCTATGCTGTGAGGATGACCCCTCCCCACTTTGTTTTGTTTTTATAGGTTAGGGGGATTAGCCTTTGGCTCTGATTAACTTGGTGGGGTTCTATCGTCTTTTTGAAGCGGGCGAACCTCTTCCTTGCCCTCTGAGCAGTTCGTAGGCGGGGGAGACCCGGCGTGAAAAGAAAATAAGACGAAACCCAGCAAAATGAGCCCCTCCCCGCTGCAGGGAACAGCTGGAATGGGGGGGGGTTTGAGTTGATAACTGCTGAAGCCGGAGAGAAAGGCTCGAAGCCTTCAAGGGTGCGGGGGAATCTGACCCCAAGCGTCGGTTTGTGTGTGGGGGAGGGTATAAGTGGCACCGTCTTCTTTGCCCATCGAGCCAGCCGTCGAAGCACAGACGCCTTCGGGGTGTCCGCCAACTCGGGTCAAGCCTTGGAGCAGTTAGGCGGGGTTCCCCTCGCTCCATGACTGGGGCTGGATCACTCACCGGTGGTTTAGTTCTGCTGTTCTTAATAGATGCGGGGGCCAGAGAGTCTTGCCTTAGAGCATCCCCACATTCCCCCATACACCCGCAAAACTGAGATTCCAGATCCTTAGGACCTGCCATGATTTCTCCCAGACTTCCCCCATCCCTCTTCCCGGGCGATCTCTGATCTAAGCCTCTTGTCTCAATATACCCGGCCGGGGAGAACGGGGGGGGGGGAGAGAACTTGCCCTATACTCATAGAAGCAAAGTTGGAAGGCACCGCGAGGATCATCTAGTCCAACCGCCTGCAATATTTTGTCCATCTCACGATCCTGAGATGGAGTCTCATGCTCTACTGACTGAGCATAGAGTTCGACTTCTGAAGTTACCTAAGAGCCTCCTCTCCAGTGCGGGATCTGCAATACAGCAGGGAAGGAGGCTCTCCCACTCCCTCCTCCCTTCTGTCCTGTGTCAGTCTGTTCCACAGTCAAACAGACCTTGGGAAGTTTCCCTTAGAAGCGTCGCCGGAATCTGCTTCTCTGGAAAACCCCACCCCTTGAAATCTTCGCCCTGCCTTCTTCTGGAGCGACGGAGAGCCTCTTAAAACTCGTCCGTCCGCTTCTCTCCCTGCCAAGAGGCGTCTAGCAAGCCGGCTTTGCCAGCGGAGCCAGCCTTGGAACAGACCCATCCGCCAAGCGGGGATTGTGCGTGCTCCTGGACAGAGTGTAAGCAACCGGGTTTAATTTGGGTTACGCGGAACTCCAACGCTCAGGGCGGGAGTTTAGGAAATCCAATCGGGTGGCGCCGCTCTTCCTTGGGACCCCATGGGGAAACACTGGGGACCTACTTCTAAGCACGTCTACACGTCTCTCTGCCCCCCCCTTTAACCTTTAGCTTCAAAGCCAGAGCAAACCGAGGCTAAATCCGTATTTACATAGGATAGCATAGAATACTTAATACTGAACCAGTGGTCCATCTCACTCAGGATTGCCTACACGGACCGGCAGCTGCTCTCCAGGGTTGCAGGCAGGCTCCGCGGATCTAACCAGGGACCTTTTGCGTGAAATGCAGGCGCTCTGCCCCTGAGCTACGACTCTAACCCATGTAATCAACTCTACTTTGCTGAGGGAAAGGCACACGCCCAAAGGCACTGTCGAACCGGGAAAGTCATGGGTTTTGAAGTGACACGGGTTGAAATAGGTTCCGGCGCTCAGAAGAACACCTCCCGACCCCCGCTCGCGCGCGCGCACGCCTTTTTCTTTTCCAGACTCTTTATGGTCTGCTTTCCTGAGTAGGGTAACTGCGAAAATTCGCAGTTTGCAAGGGGGAGTGGTGGGTTCGGTTCGATCCAGTCTCCTGCTCGCTCCCCACTTCCCAAAATCGGGGCTCCATCTTCGCAGTTTCTGGGCAGACGCGTCTCCCTTTCACGTGGGGGGGGGGAATAAAAGCTGTTCCATCAACCAGCCCGAATTAGACTCCATAAATTAACCTTTCCATCTGGTACAGGAGAGATGGGAGACAAACGAAGGGAAAACGTAAATAAATAAGACAGGTTCGGAGTTTTGTTTTGTTTTCCTCTTTGGTTTATTCCGGGGACTCTAGCAGCTCCAGATTGCTTCCAGCGACATTTCACCGCGTGAGTTTCCCGTCTTCCCATTTCTCAGACGGTTAACTGAGGCTGCAAGCGCACCAATAAAATAATCGTTCCGCGGCGCGATTTGGACCGGAGAGCAGTAGCATTCTGCTGTCACACTGTAGCTGAGAGGGGGTTTTTTTGGGAGGGGGGTCGGCTTTCCATGTCCGGCAAGAATCGTTTGCTCTCAGATTTATTCGCCATACCTAGAAAGGTGGCGTGTAAATGGCAGGTAATCGCTTCCAATCGTAACGTGTGAAGGGGAGGGTAGTGTTTGGCGAATGCTGACAGAGGATGTTATTTTTAGGGCTTAATCCTAAACCCAAAATTTGTTTAAAATAAGGGTGGGGGAGCGTGAGTTTTGAGAGACGGCGTTCGGAGAAATCCAGCCCCTTGTTCTCTTTGCTGATATTGACACGGGTCCTTTTCCTTCGCTGATCCTCGCGGTCTCTCGCTCCTGGCTCCGACGGCGCGGACCGCCCTCCGCCAGGGCGCCCTCCTGCCGCTTGAGCCAGCGCGCTCTCGGGGTTGCCCAGGGCGAGGCAGGCAGTCCTTGCTGGATGGAGCCTAAACTCAGAAAGTGGGAAGAGGGAAGCCATTAAATCTGGGCGGCAAGGAGCCTTGAAAGAACTGCGCGTCTCTTAGTTCTAGGAAGGCATCTGGTAATAAAGTCTCATTGTTCCTCTTCTGTTAAAAAAAGGGGGTCAGTACCGAGGCGTATTCAGCACCTCGGGACGAGATCAGCACCTCGGACAGCTCCCTGCGCTAATGTGGTTCAGAGACGCAGCTGCGCTGCGCTCGGGGATTTACGGCGCCCCTTTCCAAGAGATCCTACTTTTCTGTTGCTTCTTGCGGTAGCTAGCTAGCTAGCTAGCAAGGAAGTTGTGTGTGTGCATCTGGTTTGTTTCTTCATGTTTCCCTCTAATCAATGGGCTTACTTATGAGTCGGTATACTCATGCCAAGAGTTATTGAGGCATATTTACAGGTTTCCTTTAATCGTGCATTCCATCAAAAGAAATCCGAATTCCTGGGACGTTCTGTACTGTTCACAAGCTACTTCCGGCGATTAATATTTCCAAATCCTTTCAGCCGTCCCGGGAGCTGTTTCTGCACAAAGACGCTCCGCTACCTACCTGTGTGTTATATGTACTTGTATTCCTCCCGCCCCCATCTCTCGAAGCTGAGTGAGCCGAGATCCTGCGTACTTTTTCTCAAGATTAATTCTCGCTGATCGCAAAGCCGGCACACGCAAGAACCCGTTGAACTCTGTGGGACTTACTTCGGAGTAGACTGGTTGCATTGTTAGGTTGCAGTCTTGTAGCTTAGAGGGTGGGAAGAGGACTGTTTAGAGAGAGAATACTGGGGCTGGGAATGACATTTAAACGTGGATTGCTTGTTGTCCCACTAAATCCCAGCTATCATGTTGTGGAGAACAGTGCCGTTTTCGGTCCTGGGTTCGAATCCTAATTAAGTGGGGATTGTAAAATGTCGCCGATACATTTCAGATTTGCCTTCTGTATGTAAAATGTGAAGAATAGCCTTTCAGGTGGTGGATGAAGGAGATATGGAAAGCATCCTACTGGGAACTGGAATGTAGGTGCAATTTTTAAAAAATAGAATCTGAGCCCTTAAATCCATCTAATTACTTCTCTCTCTCTCTCTCTCTCTCTCTCTCTCTGTGTGTGTGTGTGTGTGTGTGTGTTAGAGAGAGAGAGAGAGAGAGAGAGAGAGAGAGAGAGAGAGAGAGAGTTAGAAAACACTCTCCTGGAGATGTGGGTGTGTGGTTTGTGCTGACCCAAATCTTACACAGCCCGTGGTTCCTTATTTGTTGCTATGATTGGGGTCAAGTTTTACTAGGCTTTATTCCACCCAGGTCAAAGACCCAGTTTTGAACTCTGCCATGCACCAAGAGAGAGACTGGGATCCTCAATGGTAACCCTCTGGAGGCTTAACCCGGGGCAAAAACCCTGTCTAGCTCCCTGCAGCTATGGCTCTGCACAAGTTACAGCCATTTTGGCTGGAGATAAGTTAGCGTGCTGGACTAGGACTTGGGAGACCAAGGTCCAAATCTCCGTGAAGCTCACTGGATGTTTTTGGTCCAGCCACAGTCTTTCAAACTAACCTCCTTCACAGGGTTGTTGTGAGGATAAAATGGGGGTGAAGAAAACCATGTATGCCCCCTTGAGCTCTTTGCAGGGAATGTGGGATATAAATGTAATGATGAGTGAAATGCTCAGTCTCAAGGGGGCATAGCTGAGTGGTTAGAGCATCTCTGTTTTGCATGTAGAAAGTCCCGGGTTCAATCTTTGGCATCGCCAATCCTGGAGAGTCACTGTCAGCTGGTGTAGACAATACTGATCTGGAAGTACCAACAGTCTGGCTCGCTACAAATCAGCTTCCCATATTCCCATGATCTTATGAGCGAGTGAAAATGTGATGTTAGAATTCACTGTGTAAGCTCTCCGTCTCTCTCCTCCCACCCCCCCGGCCAAGGAGCAAGAAGTCCAGAGGCAGTGCTACACAAGGCTTGGCTTCTGTTGAATGAGAGTGCGCTGGAAACCTTAATATCTATTGCTATTTTACAAATATGCATGCAGTT